TTCACACAAAAGCTGCACTGACTTGGGAAAGAAAGCTGAATTGAGACTACCTTCATCCTAATGCCTTTATCTTAAGCCGCACACACATGGCTTCAAGTTCTCATCTCTCATCTGAGCGCAACTGAAATTCCCAATTGCTCCTCAGCTGTCAAGCAGCTAGCTAACCACAAATTCACCGTTAACTCTTCCTTCTCTCTCAAACCTATTTGTAAATTCTTTAACGTTGGTATATGGCACCATTTATCCAGGATCCCTCCAAATTAATGTACTCAATGTTGCACCTTTTTCATCTCCCACTGCTGTCTAATCTGACCAGTGCCCATCACATCCATTACCTCCTTTAAACTTCCGTCAGCGCTGCCTTAGCCTCCGTCACCTGGACCTTCATTACACCCTCCTAAACAATCTCCTTGTGCCCCATCCCCAATCTTCCTATCAGTCTCTCAGGTTATTCTTCCAGAAATAGAGTAATATTTTCCCAGAAATACAGGTAGGCCATCTTCTTTAGCCACAGAACTTACGGCCTGCTAGTATTCTGCCTCCTGCTGCTACAACAGTAAGAATCTCACTTGCTATCTGTCTGTTCTCTGCTACATCCCCAGTACTTAAAATAGCACCTGCCACATAGTGAGCAGTCAATAAATATTTGACTAATTAATCAAGTAAAGCATTGAAGACATTCTATTATCAGGCACTAAACTTCCTTTCCAGCTTCAACTCTCAGGACTGCTTCCATCTCTGAAATGTGCTTATCCAAATCTATCGCAATTTCTCCTCATTTTTCAAGGCCTAATTTTAGAAACCTCTTCCTCTTTGAAGCCTTCTATAAACGCATCCTAACTGTTGACTCTTTCCTCGGACTCCCATATCACACTGTTTGTAGCTTTAACATTCTGTTCACTCTGCTTTGCTTTATATCAGCACCAGTGTAGGGCATCTGGCGGGCAGAGACTGTTTTAGTCACCTTTGTACCCACAGGATCTGGCCCAATATATAGACACTGCTTAGTAAAGACTAGGCAAAACAGCATATGGGCTCTGAAATCTTTTTTAAGCTTCTATGAAAAAGGACACTTTGAGTGCCTAGTCTAGTGTCTGGCACTGGCACTTAGTAGGAACTCGGCAGACCTTTATGAAACTAAGTTGAATATTGAAATTCTTTCCTCTTTATTAAGATGATTAATCATGGCAAAGTCAACATTTCAAGCAACACTTCACCATTTGACCACACTGTGATTCTGATGACTGGTCCTCTCCTTGTGCCGGTTTTGACAGATACTATGGGAGGGAAGAAGAATGAGGACACTGGGCGGTGGTGTAGGTGGGGGGCAGGGGCAGTGAGGGCTTTGAGGGGGAAACACCCACTGTCTAGCTGCGACAGGTTTTTTTAGCCCTAACCACAGGAAGCCAGTGCCTTACAAACAGGAAACGCCAGCCTGGGACAGGCAGCTGTAAACCATCAATAAATCTGATTTTCAGTTCCCTGAAGGGTTTGCATGCCTAAATACCTCGATCCTGAGGTCTTTGGTCATAACAGCTCAAAAGGTAAAAGTCAAGGACCAGAGTGGCTTTGAGGTCTGTACTTCTGTATGTCCAAAAGTTTCGCCCAGAGCTCAAGCCAGTCTCTACAAAAATGGATATCATATGTGAACTCTCCAAAAGGCTCTAAGAATTGTGACTCAGTTAAATCAAATTGCAACTCACTTTAGGTGAGGGGAAAAGATCTTTGAGTGAGCTCAGAACCAATCCTCTTCAGTCTGTGGTCTTGGGCTGGCCCACCGCCCAATTAAGGCAGAAGAATGTATCACCAGTTTTCTCAATGTTGACATAATCGTTACTATGTGCAAAAATTTACAAAAAAGGCCTAAGTCCATGGACAACCTAGAGTACCCCCAAACCACCAGTAATGTCTTCACTGCCCTTAAACAATAATGATCTTAAGCAGCCCTTAAAGAATAATGATCTTAACTTTTTCTAAATTGGAATGGAATGGACATGCGTTCACTACCAAAGTGACATTCCTTTATGAGACTGATAAAGAATCCTCCTATTTTACTAAAAAAGAAAAACAAGTAAATTTGTCTAGAGTTAGGGCCTTCATGTGAGTTTTCACAAAGTGAAAATGATCAGAGAAGCTCTGAAGAGAGGACGCTGCTCTGGGTGACAGCGGGAGCTATATTGGCCACGCTTTAGGAGCCCAGAAATGCCTGAGGCCTTCCATTCGGTCCTGGGGCAACCTGCACACCTGGTGTTTCCAATTATTTTAGACGGCAGCTGCTGTGGGTTCTACACACTTGCTCTGCCCCAAGTGTTGTACAGGAATGCTAGGTCCAATGTGATAGCTCTGGGTGGCCAGGGCCATGTCTTTGTCTTTTCTTTTTTTTTTTTAAGAGATGGGATTTCATGTTGCCCAGGCTGGTCTTGAACTCCTGGGCTCAAGAGATCCTCCTGCCTCGGCCTCTCAAGTAGCTGGGACCACAAGCGTGTGCCACTATGCCAGCTCACCTCTCTTTCATCTTTGAATTCCACATTACCAACATATAATAAACACATGTGTGCTGTGTTTAGTGTCATCTTTTCTCCACTAGGCAAAAATATTGTTTTGTAAAGCAGGTCGATCTCAAGCTGAATAAGGAAAAGTTTAATCAAACAGATTAGGTGTAGGAAATTGAGGACCTGAAGAAAGTGAACATCAAGCACTAGAGGTCCCAGTTAACTGGGAGACTGACATCACTTGAAGATGAGTTATTTCTCCATGAGGTGACAGGCTAACGGCACACACTGACAGTCCAGTGGTTTGTCAGCTGAAAGTGACCTGTACAGGAGAAAGCCAACAGAGGACCTAATGAACCCCTCGAGATGTCTAACTCCAAAATGACCCTAGACTACGGCATCTTCAAGAAGTCAAGTCCGTTTCCAAGGGGTTCTAACCAGATCCCCTTGGCATGTCTCTCCCTAACTAAACACTAAACATTTAGGGTTACCCTGATCGCCCAGGATGGTTTGTGCCACAGCAGTCCTGGGCCCAGTTCAGAATTCACATTCCTAGGTAAGACGCCTTCTTACAAAGGTCAGGAGCATGAATGCTGCTGAGGCAACCATGTGACCTGCACAGTTATAGTAACTACAAGACGGGCTGTTATGCCATCAAGGAATTCCATGAAGCAATAATAGAGAGTAACGGCCACTCTCATGCTACAAATGGACCATTTCAGCATCACACCAAAAGGTTTTCAATACAACAACTTACACTCTGAAAAGAAGGTCCTTTTACTAAATTAATAGGGAGAACAAAATGCAAGCAGGCAAGCACACCCATCAGTGAATGACTCCTAGAGCATCCATACTTTCCTCTTTTTTTTTGAGAGAGTGTTGCTCTGTTGCCCAGGCTGGAGTGCAGTGGCACGATCTCGGCTCACTGCTACCTCCGCCTCCTGGGTTCAAGCGATACTCCTGCCTCAGACTGCTCAGAAGCTGGGACTGCAGGCGTGCGCCACCATGTCCGGCTAATCTTTGTATTTTTAGTATAGTCGGGGTTTCACCATGTTGGTCAGGCTGGTCTCGAACTCCCAACCTCGTGATCCACCCACCTTGGTCTCCCAAAGTGCTGGGATTACAGGCGTGAGCCCCCGCGCTGGCCCAGTAATTAACTTTCTAAACACCAAAGTAACAAAAATGATTGACATGCGGTAAGTGCTCAAGCGTTTGACAGTTGCCATTCAATGCTCAATACGCAAATAGTATTAACATTTTTGTCCCATAAGATAACATTTTGGTTAACATCTTTCTCTTTAGAAACTTAAAACAAGGCTGGACACAGTGCCTGATACCTATACTTTCACGGCTTTAGGAAGCCTAGAAGGGAGGATCGCTTTCTCCCAGAGTTGGAGGCTGCGGTGAGCTATAGCGCCACTGCGCTCCAGCCTGGGCGACAGAGCGAGACCTTGTCACTTTAAAAAAAAAAAAAAAAAAAAAAGGGTGGGGGTAGGCCAAATACGGCGGTTCACGCCTATAATCCTAGCACCTTGGGAGACCGAGGCAGGCAGATGATAAGCTCAGGAGTTCGAGACCAGCCTGGCCAATGTGGCAAAACCCCGTCTCTACTAAAAAATACAAAAATTAGCTGAGCATGGTGGCGGGCGCCTGTAGTCCCAGCTCCTCGGTAGGCTGAGGCAGGAGAATCGCTTGAAACCAGGAGACGGAGGTTGCAATGAGCCAAGATCACACCACTGCACTCCAGTCTGGGCTACAAGAGCGAGAATCCATCTCAAAAAAAAAAAAAAAAAAAAAAAAAAAAAAAAAAAGGAGGGGGGGTGAGGTGGGGGGAGAAATTAAAGCTATGAGTGGAAATGCTCTCACATTCAGAGCACTCTTCAACAGGATTTGTAAATTAAATTTGAAAGATCCTTTTCAAAGACAGATGTTTCTCATTTTAAAGGAATGAAAAAACTAAAACGAATTAAGCACTAACAATAGCGACACATTGCTTACTTCGTATTTTCCTTTTATTTATTTATTTATTTTTTAAGATGGAGTCTCACCCTGCCACCCAGGCTGGAGTGCAGTAGCATGAGCTCAGCTCACTGCAACCTCCACCTCCCGGGTTCAAGCGATCCTCCTGCCTCAGCCTCCTGAGTAGCTGGGATTACAGGCGAGAGCCACCACGCCCAACTAATTTTTGTATTTTAAGTAGAGATGGGTTTCATTATGTAGGCCATGGCTGGTCTCGAACTGCAGACCTCAAATGATCCACGGCCTCAGCCTCCCAAAGTGCTGAGACTACAGGTGCAAGCCACCGCGCCCGGCCTACAGGTTAATTCATTCATCCTCGTAATAACCTTTTAAGTACCATCATTATCCCCATTTTGCAGTCGCGGAAACAGTACATTGAGGCAAGGCAGCTGAGTACGTTTGTTTAGTAGAGACAGGATGAGTACCAAGGCAATCTGGCGCCTAAGTCTGGGCCTGTGGTTCCCAGGCGTTGGTGCCCATTAAAATCACCTGAGATCTTTAAAACGCCGTCTCCAGGCACTCTGGTTAACTAAGCGGTATGGGGTGAGACCTGGGTATCAGGACTCTGAAAGATTCCCAGGTGATTCTAAGCGAAGTTTGGGAACCTATGGGTCTTGCTGTGAACCAATGGGTATTAAAAGCATTTCTTCTCCTGCTTAGGAGTTCCTACGCCGAGGAGCTGAGCTCAGGGCAAAGGTAGAGAAAGAACGCTAACGGGGAGGTGCGGCCAGCCTTGCCCAGGGTTAGGCCGGCGAGCCAGGCGTGAAAGCCGAGCCCCGGCGGGAAAGGCTCGGCCGGAGAGTGCGCGCTGCCCCGCCGGGCCCAGCTCCAGGTGCGCACCGGCAGGTGTCGGCTGGGCCGAAGGGCGGGCGCAGACCACTGTACCGCGGGGACGGAAGCGGCCAAGCGCGCTGGCTTCTCACATGACTCCCTCTGGGGCCCGGCTGCAGCTCCCGGGAGGTGACCGCTGGGTCTCGGGTCCCCACCCCCACTCTCACCCACACCCCAGCCGGCGCGCCGCCGAGAGCCCCCGGGTCTTAGGAGTGCGCGTCAGAGGCGGGCCAAAGGAACTTAACTTACTTTGCGCCGCCCGACTCGAGGACTCCGGGAAGTTCGTTACTTTCCTCGGCGGCGCGGGGACGTGCGGGGTAGGACGGAGCCTGGACCGCGGCGCGCGGAGGGGAGCGAGGCAGGGGCATCCCGCTTGGCGTCCCGGCCCCCTCGGGTCTCTCTTCGTCGCCCACCGTATACTCACCCGGAGGTGAAATCCTGCTGCACGCTCAGCAGCCGCTCGCGCAGGGTCTCCAGCATTGTTGCCGCCGCCTCACTCCTCAGGGACCTGGCTGCGGCTGTCTCCGCCACCCCCTCGGCCCCAGCCAGGTCCTCGCCGCCGCACCGTAGCCCCGGCCCCTTCCGCGTTCCCGCCCCCGGCGCGCTAGGCTCGCGCAGCCGCAGTGGATGGCGCCGGCTCGGGCTGCGGAAGAGGGGCGGGCCTTTCCGGCCAAGAGGGCCAGTGGCTCCTCCTCTTCTTCCTATCCCGCGCCAGGGCTTTTTGGGGTTTTTAATGTTGCTGTTTTTGCTTTAAAATGGAAGCGACTCCCAGCACTTTGGGAGGCCGAGGCGGGTGGATCACGAGGTCAAAAGATCAAGACCATCCTGATCAACATGGTGAAACCCCGTCTCTACTAAAAATACAAAAAAATTAGCTGGGCATGGTGGTGCGTGCCTGTAATCCCAGCTACTCAGGAGGCTGAGGCAGGAGAATTGCCTGAACCCAGGAGGCGGAGGTTGCGGTGACCCGAGATCGCGCCATTGCACTCCAGCCTGGGTAACAAGAGCGAAACCCCACATGAAGAAAAAAAATTAGCTGGGCATGGTGGTGCGCGTCTGTAGTCCCAGCTACTCGAAAGGCTGAGGCAGGAGAATTGCTTGAACCCAGAAGGCGGAGGTTAAGGTGAGCCGAGATCCTGCCATTGCACTCCAGTCTGGGTAACAACAGAAAACTGTCTCATAAAAAAGCAGGAAGGGGGCAAGGTATAGCCCAAGCCTGCATGGAACCAAAAGGCACGGTGGCCTGTACAACAGCCCGGCTAGCCTCGCCGGCGTACCCTAGTCAAAACAGCAGCAAGAAAGGGGCCCAGGGTGCGCACATGGTCCTGGCATCACGGCAACCACGGCAAAACAAGGCGCAAGGGGCGGGGCACGCCTTCTCCTCTGGCACATAGCAGTGTAAAAAGGCTGTCCTGGGCCTTCGCCTGCCAGCCGTGGGTCCCTGTGTGCCTGTGTGGGCGGGGCTGAAAAGGCAGCGACTAGGGAAGTAGCCTAAACGCACTCCCAGTTCTGGCAAGGTCAACACGTCAAACCGAAAGTCGCGGGGAGGGTGTCGGCAGGGGAGCGTGGTTCTCAGAACTCACAGCCGGCCCAGCAGCGGCTGCAAACAAAAGCCGTCTGTGTAACCCGTGCCCAATTTTTAAAATCACAGCGGCAAGCAGTTTTTTTTTCTCTCGGCAGGATAGCTTAAAAAAACAACAACCAGCTGTGGCCTAATCAGGCCAGCCATACCACGTTAGGGTGCAGCATTCTCATTCAAATAAGGCTTAAAAAAGCTTTCTGCCTTCCTTTGCTGCAGGTGGCCAAGATGGTAAAGGAGTTAAGGTACAGAGCTCGCAGCTCTAAGGTTACTGGTTTAAATCCCTGGTAAAGACAGTCTTAAATTGGAGGAATCTTTTTAAAAAAATTCAAAAGCTAAAGGCTATGGGACCTTGTTTTGTGTATAATTTGTCTTACTTGAGATTGGCTCTTGCTCTACGGCAAAACTTTTCCATCTAAAAAAGTATAGTTAATCCAGTTCCAGGGCCCAAATAGTTAATGGCAGGCTTCACAACCATAAGGGCATTTTCCTATAGTGGAAAACGGGTTGGTAAAGAAGGCCCAGGTCCTAAGGGCATCGTTCTGGCCTCAGCCATGCGGCCCGCCTTCTTTAAACTGTGTGTTCTAATAGCCCCTCCCTAAAAGTTTACACTTCTAGGGCAGTTTTCTAATTCGGCCTGTGTAAATTAAACTTTGGCTGGAAAATATTGATGCCCATCTTCTCAGCCTCACTGGCCTCGTCAAAAACTCGGTACAAACCACTCAACCTAGCAGCCCTTCATTGCCTCCACAGTGGTCACTAAAGGTCATGTAAACAGTAAACGGTTCCCATAACACTGGTAGGCGTAATTCAAATCCAGTACGTGGAAGGCCCCCCCACAAAAATAATCATGCATCTTGGGCACACTAAAATTCAAGGTATTAATCGGAGAACACTCCAGTTTCCAGGACCTTACCTAAGGAAGGCCTCAGGTCGAGCGGCTATAATTAAATAACTGGGAATGCTGGCATTCCTTGTTCTCAATTTCAAATGGGTGCTTCTCTGCCCACAACAAGTCCCCATTAAAATGTATCCTAAAAAGTTAAAACCAATTTAACACACAATCTTGAGGAAAAAAAAAAAAAAGCGGCTCATTTTCCTCTGCCAAACAAAGCGGCCAAAATATCCCTTGCTGAGTGAAAAAACCTGGCCTCCAAAAAAAAGTATAAATTATAACACTGTTCTATAACTGTGTTATAGAACTATGTCTAAACCATTCTATAACTGTGGGCAATTAAACCTGGACTGTAAAAGTAAGGGCAAATGGTTTAAGGTGCCCTATGTGCAACTTTTCTTTTGCCTAAAAACTAAGCCTCAGCTCTGTGGGGCCTGTGCCCTATACCCTACTCAGCCCTCCTGAAACCTGCCTCCACATGTAAAACTCCTTGTGGCAATTGCCTCAGCTCCTGTACCCCAGCAAAAGCCAGAAAGGGCCAAAACAGCCAGGGCATCTCAGGCTACCAAAATGCCCCAGCTCTGCCCCCTGTAGGTGGTAGGAAAAAAAGTTGGCCCAACCAAAATAACAAACTCCGATTATCCTTTTCATAGTAAAAAGAAAACCTGTCTTTTTCTTTAAAAATGCTGCTACTTTGTAAACCAGTTAAGTGTTATTTTAAACACGGTTTAAAAAAAACCCTCAAAAATCAATCAAACACAGGGCTAAAAATCCTTCAAAAACAGTATTGTAAAGCTTGTTTAACAACTAACTGTCCTGGCTGCATTCTTTCCTAAGATCATTTATAACCATTCTATAACTGTGGGCCTCTAGGCCTGTTATCTTTAACCTTTTGTCACATTCGTTTCTTCTAAAGCTATAAGGTCACAAATAATCCTGCTGCTAAAACTCCAAATGTCCTTGGCTAATAAGCTCTGTCGTAAACCTCAGAATCAACCTGTACCCCTAAAAGGCTCCCCTCTAAAAAAAAAAAAAAAAAAAATCAACTGCAGGGCCCCTCCTATGCCCCATTTCAGCAAAAAGTAGTTAAAAGGCAATCAATGCCCGTAACCCCAACAGAAGTTGGGGTTTCCTGTTCTGAATGGGGACTGAAGGAATGTATTATCTGTCCAGGTCCACAAGGGAGCATAGTTTCAAGGGAAGGAACTTCCCAATGCCCCACTCCTCTGTCTCCATCCGGGAGACTTAACCATCTTTGTTTTAAACTTTCGTGGGCATGGGAAAAGACCAAAGGTCAATCACTCCAGCGGAAGTTTAAAGGAACCGTTTTCATTTGCCGGGGGTTTGGAAAAGGTGGGAATTCCTCCTAGGTTAAAAGTCCCTGTCTCCCTCATCCGGGTGGATTTCCCCCTCTGGGGTCCCCTTCCACAATCCTCATAAAAGCTGCTTTTCCTCTCCTGGATTCCATACTTGTGTCCCTTCCACACTCTTTGTGGAAGGCTTTTTCTCTCTCCTTTTTCTCTTTCTCTGACTAAATAAAACAAAGATATTACAAGAAAAAGTGGGATGTTTCATGTGTGCCATGGGCTGAAGTCTGCAGCTGTGACTGTCACCATTTCAAGATAAATGAATCCAGTGTTCATTGTAAAAAAAAAAAAAAAAAGAAAGCTGAGATTTGAGTTCACGGTAGTCCCATGAAGACCATCAGCTGTGAGTCTCTCCATGAGGTGTCCTACTGGTGCTTCTCCTAGGATAGAAAAATGTGGAAGTAATGTGCCTGGTCTCTGAAGCATGTGTACACAGTCCTGGAACCCAAACTCTAGTCCTTAGAGTCCTTCCACTGGGACAGTGGAAGTTAAGAAGTAGTAGATGTGAGCTAGTACATGAGTCTCACTCCACTTTAACAAGGAAATCTAGGGGAAACCCTGCTGTGTTGTCCCATGAAGAATATTAGATAGTGGGTAGGGGAAGGGGTTGTAGGTACCTGAGATCTGTCAGAGTTTGTCTCCATCAGGTAAAGATTGAGGTACAAGACCAAGAAAAACGCATGTTTTCCAAACTTGCAAAAAGGGTAAATATTACCATTGGTGTGCAGCATGTGGAATCATCATATTACAGTGAAGTCTTTGAATTCACGACGTGATTGATGACCAGGTTTCACTGTATGTAAGTTAAGTATCCTCATGTCTCAAAGAAGAACTTGGTAACGAAAGGAGAGGTGTCTGCTTTGATGACCAGCTGCCCCAGTTTGCCAAGGACTCTCCCAAGCTCTCAGTCCTGGGCAGAGTGGGGACTGGTCCAACTAGTGACTGCCCAGAACTGTTGACTCCTTATGGAATGAGAAGTCAAACCTCTAGGAGCTACGCTGACAGATGCTGTATGTCAGAGTTGGTGTGAGGCCCTGAGGCTTTATTCACTATAAAAAGAACACCACACAGGAGACTGATGAGCGTCCTTTTTCCTCTGAAACCCACTTAACCATAGAAAAAAATTTCAACTTAGGACCAAAATTTAGACAGAAGGTAGGAACTGTTTTAAAATTTTCTTAGATTTCCAAGTTGTCCTAAATACAAGATGCATTTAATAAATACTTCTTGGATTGATGAGTTTTCAGTGGAAAATAATACATTTTTTGGTTTCATTTTTGAAAAA